CTTTCCTTGTGACCCTTCTATGAGGGAATGTCTAATTGTCTACAGATGGACTTTGGGGCTCCACTCAGACCCCCATCATTTGCATCTATATATTTGTTTGTTTGGGGTCTTCTGGTGCCTGATACCTGGTCCCGTGGACACCTCATGATCACACAGGCTAGTGTGCTTCTTTCATGCGGGGTTTGTTGCTCCCTGCTAGATGGCCGCTTGTTTAACTTCATGCCTTTAAGACACCAGATGCTGTATCTTTTCATAGCCAGACACCATCAGCTTTCTTCACCACATTTGCTTATGCACCTATTTTGACTTCAGCAATCGTGTTGGGAAGGTGAGCATCACAGAGTGCCAGGTTATTAGAACAAAGTGTTCTTGCATTGAGGGAGTACTGGAGTAGAGACCCAACGCCCATCATTAGGGGCAGTGGGTTCTTTGAGGAAGATGCCTTGGGATGTTGGTCCATGGCCAGGCCCCAGCCTGCACCCAGGTCCTCTCCCTCACCCACCAGCCTGGGAGGTTTCTGACTCACCATTAATGCTGTCGTGTCCCCAGCCTATCACGGTACAAATGGAGCCCTCCTTCACCTCAAAGTCCAAGCCAGGCAGGCAGATGGGCCAGATATACTGGCTGTATTTGAACATCGACTGGAGCTTGAGGAGGCCGATGTTATTTGCCTTGCCGATCCATGACCAGTACCGCCGGGGCCGGTACCTGCTGTTCACAATGACCTGGCCCACGGGAACACTGTGGGCATACTTCACCGGCTGGTCAATCACGGAGCTCCCCATCAGTACAGAATAGGCAACGTTACGCCTAGGGAACCACGGGGAAGTCTGCAATCAGCTCCCAGCACCCTGCCCCAGCCTCAGTCCCTGCCCTCCTCCCAATGTTGCCCTTGGGCAAATCCCAGCAGACCACCTGACCCTCCTCTTCCTCACAACAGATATGAGTAGGGCCCTGCACACACTGTGTGGTCCAGACTTCACAACAGCCCTTCAGGTTATGGAGGAGGAAGCGGAGGCTCAGAGAAGCGCAGTGACCCATGTAAAGGGAGGAAGTGATGTCCTTGGGGCCCAGATCCAGATTTCTCTGCTTCCAAACTCTAGCTCTTTCTAGCACCCCATGTTGCCCCTAGAGGGAGGCTGAGGCCCATTGGGTCAGCCAGGGTCCCTCTGCGTCTCCATGCTGGCTCTTAGGCTAGAGCATGCTTCTCCACTGATCAGACCTCCGGGTCAGTACCTACCTGTCCCCAAGTCACTCCCCCAGCACTGAACATCAGATCACCCATGTACTCACACCGCTCAGACTGCCCTGAGAGATTCTGTCTACCCCACACACCCCAGAGGGGTGATGCATCCCCTCTCTGCTCCCGGTACCCATATCAGGGCCAGGCTCCACAGGGGCCTCTGTGGAGGAGGTTAAATGATTAAGGGGCAGGGCCAAGGGAGAATGGGGCCTGTGTGCTCCAAAGGATGCCAGCCAGCTCACCAGCTTGGAGTCAGGTGAGGTGAGGCTAGGCTGTGGTACTCCACGGAGGCCACCGCTGCAGAGTGACACGCCACCCCTTCATCTGCCCCTCCACCACCCACCTGGGCCCCGACTCACTGGACCAGGCAGTGGGCCACAACCAGCACCCACTGGGGGGCAATGAGGGTGCCGGTGCAGATGTGGGTGCCGTTGGCTCGCACGCTGACTATCCATGGCCACCGCCGCGTCATGGCCAACGAGTCCCTGAGGGTGGGGTCCTCCTCGAAGGAGAAGCCACAGGCTGAGGAGAAAGGGGGCGCATGGTGAGGGATGGGCTGTTCCAGTCTTCTCTTCTCCTTCTCTTGGACCTCCTGCTCTGCCAGCCTCAGCCATCCAATCACCCTCCTTTGCCCAATTCCATGAGGGATCATGCTGCCCAGGTGCAGATGCCCAGCCCTGCCCAGATGCCCTGGCTCCCTGTTCCCAGGCCTCAGTCCCAGGGCGTCCCCACATGCCCAGCCTGGTGCACCATCAGCACCTCCATCCTGGCTGAGCACCCCATAGGCGTCCACCCTCAGCCCCCTCTCCCACGTGCCCTCTATTTCCTTCTCCCTTCTCCTGGAAGCCCCACAGGTGAGTTCTGTGCCCCTAAGCACATCCCCTTGTCCTCCCTCCCTCACTAGGACGGGAGGACCCCAAGGTCTCTCCCAACCGGCGACCACTAGGCCTGGCCCACAATCTGTACTCAATACATATTGGACCGCAGAAGGTCTAGTCCAGCGCTTCTCAACTTGTGGGTCACGACCCCTTTGGGGGGTCGAACGACCCTTTCACAGGGGTCACCTGATTCATCACAGTAGCAAAATGGCAGTGATGAAGTAGCCAAGAAAATAATTTTATGGTTGAGGTGGGGTGGGGGGAATCACCATAACATGAAAGAGTCGCGACACTAAGAAGGTTGGGAACCACTGGATGTCTCGGGGGGCTTCTTCCCACCCCTCTGTCCATCCCAAGGACCCAAGGTGCTCACGGCTCCTGCACCACCGCTGCCTCTACTCACCGGGGAGGAAGTCTGACGTGTGGTTTGTAAAATTGCGCCCCGAGTGATCTGGGTCCGCCACCTGGGGGGTCGGGTCCGCCACCTGGGGGGTTGGGGCCGCCACCTGGGTGATCGGTGTCGTTATGACCGGTGTGGTGGTCGCAGCAGGCGTGGTTGGGCCCTGCCTGGCCACACGAGGCCTGGGGCCATCGGGGACGGGGTGGGCCAAAGCCGAGGGCGGCAGTGCGTCCCTGGCTTCCCCGACGCCCAAGCAACCTGCGGAAGACCACGGGGCCGTCAGAGGAGGGCAGGGGGCGGCCTGAGGGGGTGCGGGGGGCAGGCAGGGAGTGGCGCTCACCCGTGAGCCTCAGCAGCAGTAGCAGGAAGACAGCACAGCCATGGATGGGGACAGATGGCCCCAGGCTCGGGAAACCCTGCCCGCAGGCCCGAGTCCGGCGCCAGGGCTCCATCCGGGTACTGTGCCGCGGCGCTGCAGGTAGGGGGCGGGGCTTGGGCTCCGGTGGCGCCCCCCAGTGGTTGCCGGAGCCGGAGCTCCCGGCGTCCCTGGGGTCTGGCCCGCGAGGACGCTGCTCGTGCCCGGCCTCCGTGAAGGTGTGGTCGCGATGGCGGGTGCCCTGTGGTCTCGCCATGGCCTCTGCCCGCCTTGGCCCTTCTCTCTCTCACTCGGCTGGGCCACGCATTTTCCTGAAACTGCTAATATCCCGAACCTTGGGCCCCCACCTACCACCTCCCACAGCCCGTGGCCCTGGCTGGGTTCATGTGGCCTCGCTCGAAGGCCGAACCTCCAGGATGGCGGATGGCGGATGGCAGGATGGCGCCTGGGATCCGGAAGTGGCCCCAGCTTCCCGCCAGCCTGCGATCTACCTCGGCGGCGGCGATGGCGGGCTTCGGCCCAGAAACCCTGATAGTAAGTAGACAATGCATCCAGTCCCGCATCATCGCGATCGATGCCGCATTTCCCGCCCCCTCCTTCAGAGATGCCTCTGCTCAGGAGCGGCGGGGGACCACTCTCCGAGGGCTGATGGTGTCCGTGGCGCGGGTCTGGGAGCCGGCAGCCACTTTCTCTATCTAGCGTCCGAGTTCAGGGACCATTTCAGGGGTTCCGTGACCCTGCTTGGAGGACACATCTCAGAAGTCATGGGGGGATAAGTCCTGCCAGCACCCTTGGCCCCACGCTGCTGGAAAATGCCAGCCCGATAAAATGTAAGCTGAAGCAACGGAGGACTCTAATGTTGGGAAAGGCCTGGTCTTGGGATGGAAGCAGCGCCCGGTGGCACAGTGGTTAAGTGGTTGGTTGTCCCTCAGGAGGTCGGTGGTTTGAATCCACCAGCCTCCTCTTGGGAGAAGGTTTGGGCCGTCTGTTTCCATGGAGATTCACAGCCTTGGAAGCTCTTTGGGGCAGTTCTGCTCTGTCCTAGAGAGTCCTCCGCCAGGAGTTGACATCAATTCCACCGCCCTGGGTGAAGGTCTTGGGAAGAGGGGAAGAGTCCCAGGGTAGTGAAAATGGCTCAGGGCTCCAAGTAGTATAACCGAAAGGTTGATGTTTTGAACCTGCTCCCAGGGCACCTCAGAGGCCTGGAGATGACCAGCTTTGCCCAAGTGCCCCATGTATCCGAGAGTGGATTCTTGCAGATGCAGTTGGGTTACAATGTAGCGTGCTGTCATTTACGCTCTGGGATGATCCATTTAAATCCAGTTCTAGTTTTTCATATTTCTGGCTTTTCTATTGAGGGTTTGATCTGTTTTTACTTTGTTATTCTTGTGAGTTGTTTATGTTTTTCTGTATAGGAAACCCAGGAGAGGTAAATAGAGACAGTACCTGGATTAATGGATCCTTGCGTGTATGGAGGGGAAGCTGGTGGGGGTGGGGAGATGGGGAGCTAATAAGGATGAGTATGAGATTGAAGAAAATGTTCTAAACCGGGACCGTGGTGAGGACTATACAGCTCTTCTTGCTGTGATTACCTGCTGCATTGTATGAGATGTGAATTAGATGCCGAGGAAGCTGTTGGGAAAAACAAGGGTTTGACAGCAACTGGTTTGTGTTTTGGGGGGTCTTGAAGACACCCTGGCTGCCCAGATAGTGCTTTACTCTAAGAAGGCAGTGAATCATGCCCATGGGCCGGGAGGGGGCGTGATGGCTGATAGTTCCTTCAAGTGTGGGCAGCCCTCATTGCACAAGCCCACAGGAGGCAGGACTCCATCTCCTCTCAGCTCCAGTCAGCCTGTCCTCTCTCCAGCATCCAACCTAATGGGCACCAACGCAGATCAGGAGTTCTGGGGCTATTCGCCTCCACACAGGCCCCACACCTCTCCTGACCCCTGCCAAGATGTGAGGTTGGGGAGAGACAGAAAGAACTGGTCAGGTTGTGCCGACCCTCTCAGGGCAGGACAAGGGGTCGGCGCTCCAGAGCGCAGGCACTGAGCAGGACGGCAGCTGAGCTGTCCGGAGTTCCCAGGCTAGCCCGAAGAGGAAGTGTGGGTCAGAGACCCGTGAGCAGGTCCCTGGCACCTGGGGGCTCGCTGGCCTGCTGGGATGAGTGAGCAGACACAGGATTATTCAGCCAGCCTCCTCTCCTCTGTACAGAAGAGGCTGCTCGCCCGAGGCCCCACGACACAGGTTCACAACCCAGGTGCCCCTATTAGAGAAACTTGGCATGATAGGACAGCCAGGCCTGGTAAGTGGAGGTACATACACCGGGATGGTCGCTGAACGCTTCCAGGGATACAGCCCAAATAGAGAAGAAAGATGACTTCATTGGCTTGGTGTTCAAGGGCATCTTTGTGGACGATAGAGAAGACAGTAGCTCTGGAACCCTCCCCCATGGATACCTTGCCCTGATGGCCCATGTCTCTCTGGTCTCCCCTTCCTTCTCCTAAGGGCAGAACAGAGGAGAGAGGGAAGCCGCCCCCAGGAGTGTCCTCTGCTCACAGGAGCCATAGGGACCCCAAGGAGACCAGCAGAATGTAGCCCGTGAGGACGATGGGGTTCAGGAAGGCAGAGCCAGCTCGGCTGATGAACTTCACGTCGTTGACCTGGCTCTTGATCCACTGGTTGAAGTGGGAAGTGCTGGTGTAGATGCTTGGTAACCGGGACCTGCTGCAGCTGAAGCCCCAGCTCACCAACCCCACCTGGATCCAGGTCTTGTTCACCTCGCACACGAGGGGGCTTCCAGAGTTACTCTGCAGAAGAGAGGAAAGGGAAGAGTAAGGCCGCTAACAGGAGGGTCTCCCTGCAGGCCCTGGATGACCTGTCCTTCTGCAGGCCACCTCCTCCACGTGTGCTGTATTAGGCCTGTGCTACCCTGAGGATGCACATGGTTAATCTGCTCGGTGGCCAGTAAGCTCATCTCTGGGTCCCAAGCCCTCTCCATTCTGCTAACTCTCTGACCGTAACTCCGCGGTGCCCTGCTCTGCCCTGTGGGCCTCCACGGGGCTGCTGTTGGTCTCACCTCTCCTATACTCCTGTTTGCAGAGAGAGTAGCCGCAATGCCAACCAGCCTCTCGGGGCGCCTACATGTGTGTTTAGGAGGATGTGATTGACAAGGACCCATATCACGAGGCAAAAAGCATGTTCACTGCAGTGTTACTCACACTAGCCCAAAAGTAGTAACAACCTGAAGATCCATCAGCAGATGGACGTCCAGATGGTCTCTTGACACCACGGAGCAGGACTTCGTGGTGAGAAGCAATGCAGTCCTGATGGATGGCACAGCTTGGGGGACCCTGGATGAAATCAGGCCTGCTGCAGGAGGACAGCTAGGGGGTGAGCTCATTTGTATGTATGAGGAGTTCATGTCTATGAAGCTGTAGACAGACATACCGAAGTTAAAGGCGATGCAGAGTTGCCGGGTGTGGGGGCTGGGCAAAGTGGGGGGGGCGAGAGGGAGTTTATGCTTAGGGGGCATTGGGTTGATGTTCATGGAGGAGGAACAATTCCAAGAGAGGGGTGAAGATGGCAGCACAACTTGAAGAAGGTAATCCATCCCACCGAGTCATCCGTCCGTCATTGTCGTCGTCAAGGTGACCTGTATATGTTTTGTGTGGATTTTCACTGAAGTAAAAATCAGTCCATCAAAGGTCATCACGGCTAGCTTTCATGATGGTGATTTGGGGGTTGTTTTGTTCCTTCGTTTTCCTTATACTCTTCCAGATTGTTGAAAAGTTTTATAAATCAGAAAAAGGTCATTATTTGTTTTTGTGGGTTGCTTTTTCCCCCAATGTCATACAAGCCAAGAGTTACGAGGGATAACTTACATACTCTAGTGAGGAGTACATAAGATTCTTAAGGAAAACAAAAGCATAAAAGCTTTTCCAAGAAAACAAATAATGACCCACAATCCCGTGCAGGGAGAGCACAGAGGGGACACAACCCAGTCAGAATGACAACCCTCAGCATTTGGGTTCCTGCAGAGTGGAAGACCGGATCCTCTAACCTCCATTTTTTTCCCCTAAAGAGAATTTAAAACAATGCTTTTTTTTTCCCCAGGGTAATTTTAAGCATCCAGGTAAGCTGGCAAGAAAACCAAGAATCCCCGGGGTTTCAAACTGAAGCATCCACGTGGACAGGACACAAAAGGCAAAGCCCAGGTCTTTCCCCAAGCCACCCTTCAGGAAAAGGACCACACCCTCCGAGTGAAGAGAGCCTAGAAGCCCCCCTCCTCCTGTGTGCCCCAGACCTGCACTCACACTGGGTGGGCGGTTGAAACAAAACCCAAGCCAAGAACGCTGTGGAAGGTGGTCCTGGTTATGGGTCAAACTGTGTCCCCTCACCCTCCACTCCTCCCCACCCCCAAGAGATACACTGCAGTCCTAACCGGATGGTATCTATGCATATGTTCTCGGTTGGTAGAAGGCCCCTGAAGATGTTATCAGTTAACCAGAGATCATACTGAAGTAGTGTGTACCTTAATCTATTATAACTCTACATAGCATAGCCTCACCTTCAAAACATCACACAGCCAAGTACTTTAACCACCATGTCACAGGCTCTGTAGTCCCCGAGTAGTAT